AAATATAACTTGTGTCACTTATTCATATAATATTTTTAACAAATGTTTTTATGTGTAATCCTGTTCATATATCTAAAAATAAATTACTTTATTTTTGAGAAATCCGACCAGGTCACAAGTTTTCATTTTCACATTCATGGCCAGAGGGATATTTCATAATTTCCTGATTCCTTTCTGCAAGATCTGGCTGGATTATTTTATGAAGTTAGGCTGGTCCTGAGCTTCATGGAGTAATTCCTACACCTTCAATTAAACTTGTTTTACTGCACAACATTCCTTTTGTGGGTTTAAAACTATTGAAATTTCATTTAGCCATTTCATTTAATCGTGTCGGCAAAAATCTCCAGAACCTGCCTTTAAAACGACTCCTCAAATAAAGAATTTCAATAGTCAGCCCTTAATCATGTCTATAAAGGACCGAGTTGTAGCAGAACATGTTCTATAACATATAGGAAAAACCATTGGAAATGTATTGCAAATTTTAGTGTTAACTGGAGTCGTGACAAAACCACATGACTGTTAAATAGATTAAAATGTGAAGAGTTGAACAACCCGTCCAGTACTGGATCTGAGCGAAGTTTTGCATGCTTTTTTTTTATTGCTCATGGCTGAAGCAAGCAAAGCCGTGCTGCTGTAAACCAGAAGTCCCGGTCTTATCAGCCGTGTTTCCACATGGTGTTCACTGAGAGCAAGCCCTCTCTGCTGTTCAAGAAAATGATGAACTCTCTAGGGAATTTACTTGACTTTAATTTCAGATGATGTGCTGTGGGATAATATAATTGTCAATTATTGAAAAGAGTCTAAATTAATGTAAGTCTATAAACGTACATAAATTTGTTACAACTTTACCACATTACAAGTACAAATTTACAAGTACAGTGGTGCCTTGAGTTTATCAAGTTTTAATTTGTCCTGAGATGGAGCTCTTAACTCAAGGTGTCAAATCAGTGTTCCCCATAGATATTGAAATGCCCTTAATCTCTTCCGGACCCCCCCAAAGAAACACTTTTACATGTTTTATATCAGTAAAATCATGAATAATAAATACATAACTTAATATATTTTCTACAATGAACTACAGTAGTTTAAGTACACTGTAAAAGCTACAGCTTCGACTGTGGAAGTGCTGAGCTCGTACTGCTTTGCTAAGTCGACTACACGCATGCCTATCTTGTTTTTCAATTTCTTTCTTCAGTTCAATGCACATCATCCGTTTCTTTTTCTCAGTGCAATCCTTTGCTCTCACCTTTTTTGGTCCCATAGTTGGCAAAAGCTGGTTTGTGAAATTTTATAAATTGCGAGAGGAACACAAACGCTTTGACCACGAGATAACTGCTTAAAGCTAATTGAGACGGTGAACTTCTATTGCGGTGTTCACTCCTGCATTCATGACACCATCTAGCGGTGGGGTGTGTGAAGTTCGCTCGTAACCCAAATTTTAGCTCTCAACTCAAAGCAAAAATATGAGATTGTTCCTATATCTTTTTTTGGCCACTTCAGTAGAAAACAAAACTGAATGTTTCTTAATTTCTGCATCAGTGGCCCTTTTTAATACTGTAGTAAAAAAGAAAAAGTAGAAGAGAAATATAACAGTAAAGACAGAAACCGATGGAAATTGTGTGACGTGAAATGAACACCAATAACAAAGGACATTATGAATATAACCCACTTTCTGTCAAAATGATGGATGACTCAAAGGTCAAGGGTCAAGCTGTGACCTCCAGGGTCAAGGTGTGACCTGTGGGGTCATGGGAAATCCCCCCTCTTTCTCCCCCTCCCATTACCCACCTTTAATTTTAACAGGTGTGTGACCTCTGAGGTCATGAGAAAAGTTCTCTAATAAAAGAAGCCATTGGAAAAGAAAGTATCTTTTGATTCTGACCATTACAAAGAAACAATAAGTAGTCCAACCCCACCAGAGCTTGCTAGCCAATCGGAAAAGAAGCAGGAGAAAGACCCCGCTCTCCCCAGAGACACTTTCCAGCTCATCCTGGGGGACACCGAGATGTTCCCAGGCCAGAGGGGATATATGATCAAGTCCTGGATTT